AAGGTTTTGCAACCATCGCTCAACCTCTCACTGAGCTTCTAAAGAAAGGCGTCACATTTACGTGGGGTACCGACCAAGCTGCTGCTTTTTCTCACCGAATCACGCTATTGACGACTCCACCCATATTGGCTCACTTTGACCCATTCGCTCCGACGGAAGTTCGAACCGATGCTAGTGGTCACGGAATCGGAGCCGTGTTAGCCCAGCGCCAACGGGGACACGACCGAGTTGTCGCCTACGCTAGCCGCCTCCTCACAGCTGCTGAGCGCAACTATTCCATTACAGAGCATGAGTGTCTTGCTCTTGTTTGGGCAGTCTCAAAGTTCCGCCCACATTTACATGGCACAAATTTCTCTGTATAAACCGACCATCATGCGCTATGTTGGCTTACGTCACTGAAGGATCCTACTGGCCGGCTCAGGCCCTGGGCTCTGCGACTGCAAAAGTATACCTACACGGTAACGTACAAGTCCGGACGCCTACAACAGGACGCAGACTGCCTGTCCCGCTACCCAGTTGCTGAGTCGAGCACTATGCCTGACACCGACACCGAGCCTTGCATCTTTTCCCTTTCATAAATGACATCCATCGGTGACGAGCAGCCCCATGATGCGTCCTTGCGTGCTATCATTGAGCACCTTGAATCACCATCTTCCAATCAGTCCCATCACTCATTCGTGCTCCACGATGGTGTATTATACCGCCAAAGTTTTGAGCCGGATGGACCGGCCCTGCTGCTTATCATTCCGAAACACCTTCGCTCGGAAGTTCTAAATTTACTTCATGACCTTCCGACTGCAGGGCTCCTTGGTGAGTCACGCACTTACGACCGAATACGCCAACGCTTCTGGCCAGAGCTTGCACGCTCAGTCAGAAGATACGTTGCGGCTTGTGAGAAATGTCAGCGCCGCAAAACGGCATCGACACTTCCCGCCAGACGCTTTCAACCACTTGACATTTCGTCAGAACCGTTCTTCCGCGTTGGCTTGGACCTACCTGGCCCTTTCCCTTTGTCTTCCTTGGGTAACATGTAGATAGTTGTGGCCACCGACTATGCCACGCGTTATGCCATCACACGAGCTCTTCCAACAAGCTGCACCACAGACGTAGCCGAATTCCTCCTCAAGGACGTGATTTTGCAACACGGAGCCCCACGGCAGCTGCTTACAGACCGCGGCCACACCTTTTTGTCAAAGGTCATAGCCGACTCTTGCAGTCCTGTCAAACAAGACACAAGCTGACTACGTCATACTATCCGCAAACCAACGAACTCACGGAGCGTCTAAATCAAACTCTTACAGACATGCTCGCTAAGTATGTTTTTACCAACCACACCGACTGGGATCTTGCGTCGCCGTACGTCGCATTTGCCTATATTTCTTCGCAACATGACACTGCCGGTTACTCCCCATTTTTTCTGCTGTTTGGCTGAGAATTAACATTGCCTCTAGAAACCGTCATACCGTCCCCTGCAGTACCGACCAGTGAATATGCCATGAACGCTATCACTCGGGCCGCTCACGCACGCAAAATCACCTGTACTCGCCTTCTGATCTCTCAAGAGAAGCAACGACGTTTGTATGACCAAGGACACCGCGACGTACACTTTCCGCCTGGCTCGTTTGTGCTGCTCTGGTCTCTGACCCGTCAAGTTGGCTTGTCAGAAAAACTGCTTACTCGCTACACAGGTTCATACAGAGTCCTCACCGCAACGTACACTTTCCGCCCGGTTCTTTGGTCCTGCTCTGGTCTCTGACCCGTCAAGTTGGCTTGTCAGAAAAACTGCTTACTCGCTACACAGGTCCATACCGAGTCCTTCGTGTGGTTACTTCTGTGATACATAAAATCGGTCCTGTCGCCCCAATGCCTTCGTGTGCCCAACAGCCTACCGATATTGTACATGTTGCGCGCTTGAAGCCCTACCACTCTCCTAGTGACGTTAACATTTAGATGCGCCGAGACAGCGCTTCTGCCGCCGGGGATTATGCTACATGCATGCATACTGAGATTCTAGGGGGCGACGCGCGTGTGTGCCTGACGAGGAAGACAGAGTTGTCTCCGCTCGATCGTTGGTGAACTGGTCACGCCATTACCACTGGTTTACATCTAATCATCTAATCCATAGCCTCGTCGATACGGCATCTCTTCTTTTCCGTAACAATATTGTAGAAGAATATGCCACCCATACAGGGTTACAATGCTCACCAGAAAAATCGCAACTACTTTTCTACAACCCGACACGTAGAGGTCGAAAAAGTATCCAGGAAAAGCCTAACATTAAAGTTTTGTTGGAAAAACGCAAAATACCTACAGTTGAAAGCATAAGAATTCTGGGATTCTGAATCAGCTCGAATGGGCATAACGGAGAGGCGATTAGATTACTTGAAACAAATGCGCAGCAAACCATGCATCTACTCAAACTAATTGCAAAATACACTATGGTATGAAGGAAAACAATATGATAAGACTGGTACAGGCTTTTGTCTTAAGTCATAGTGTATATGTGATTCCGTACCTTAGACTGCAAGTGGCCGCGAGAGAAAGGACTGAGAGAATCATTAGACGACTTTTCAAACATGCGATCGGACTTCCGATAACTGGGAGGACAATGTGAGATTTGAGCAGATGACCACTTACAGAGATATTATGCAGTATTACAGGCTAAGCAGAGAAATTTATCCTCCCGCACACTTGTTGTAGAACAAAGGACAAGCGGTGGCGTGGCGCTTACTTCAGACTAATACATTCCCTACTCCGGCAAAAATGAACCGCTGGGTGCCCGAACTTCATTCGGACAAGTGTAAATTTTGCAAAAACAGAGCGACTTGAGCCAAATTTTATGGGCATGCCCACAGGCCCGCATGAGAGGCAAATTCCCAGACGGGAGTGGATGGAGTACCGCGCTCCTCAGCTCTGACTCTCAATTACAAGCCCGACGGCAGGCTGAAGACGCCGCCAAGGCCCACGGGATTAAGGCTGTCGTCTATACTTGACGACAACTTTCAGTGGCAGCAGAGTGAAAGCTATGAAGCCCACGCAAGTCCTTTTTCACTACGCCGCTGCAAGTAGTCCATGAACGCTCACTTTTGTATACTGGGTAGCACATAGTAAAATACAAAAAGAAAAGATATAAATGTTGTGTTAAACATTGTTCGCATTGTCATTAGAAATCTTATACCATGCAGAATTTTCGTTCTTTTCCATTGCTATTTTTCAGATGTTCTCGTGTCATTTCACCTCTTTTCCCACCCCGGTAAACAATGATGGCGTCGCTTGGTTGCAGCATGTTCACATCGAAGCTTGTGAGCGAGCATGAGTGCGTGTTCGTTAGGTGATCTTCGTTGATCGTGCAGGGAGAAACGAAGACAGTGATGCATCGTGAAATATTTTGTTTTCCGCATGTGCAATCACCGAGAAAGAAGAAGTCTGTGAGAGATATCGTCACTTTAAGTAAAACTCTAGTCGGTATAACCACCTCAAAAGTGAAACCCGTGACGTGCCAGTCTTCAGCAACACCAGCTGCTTGGAAGCAAAAGTGCCATTGGAAACTGTACGAAAAGCAATGACTCTTTTGCTAAATTGCGTTGCATACTTGATGAACATTTCGGTTGCCTAATATTGTTCATACGATCAAGCTGAAGATTGCGTACTCTAACAATGCACCCGTCGGCGTCTATACAGAGGGAGTGCTTGTTTGCGCTTTATGATGACATGTGATTTGCGAGGATAAAATTACCAGTGCAAAGTTTTGCTGGGCAACAGATGCGTTCATGTGTATTATACTGTTGACTGTGCAAAACAGCGTGTCATCCACTTGGATTCATGAACTTGAGACGCCCGCTCATGACCGGTGATAGTCGAGATTTCTTTGCGTCTCCTGAAAAGAAAATGTGAGCGTCTCCCAAAAGTTTTTGCGTCTCCAAAGGAATGAAAACAATAATGCCGGCGCAGTATGCACTGGAATTCAGTAAACAGTTTTTTGCCTTTGCGTTAGTTTTCCCATCACCTAGTTCCTACTCAGCCATGCCTTTTGTTTTTCTCAAACAAATCGGAACTCTTCACTAAAGCTTAATTCTTGTTCTTCTCCTTGAAAAAAACTAACTTTTATTGATTTCCTCTCAAAAATTTAACGTTTATTGTATGGTGCTTGCGCTACCGATTGCGCTTGCGAAGCCGAAATCTAAGTCACCCGCAAACATACTACTTGGCATAGCAACACATGTGCATAAGCTCCGCCCACGTAGCTTTGGCCGTGCTGCCACAGTAAGTTGTCGCAAAGTATAAGTTTGGTCCTTCCCCTCCCTTGCCTAAAAGGGGAGGAGGAACTTTCTGCTAATTAAATAAAGTTTGTTCATCATCATCATCATCTAAGCCCATCAAAAGAAGTGGCTGAAAAAGCTCGCACAAACACTTTATTGTCGGACTAAGCTGTGCTGATGCACGAAGCCATATAGAGTTCCTGCCCCTACTGCAACAGCACTCTCTCATTAATTAGGTTTTTCATTGCGATTTCGTTAATGCTATCGAAATTTTTTGGAACCATGCTATCCAATATATTCAGCATACATTAGCAGTACTGGCCTGCCACATACTGCTAGCGAAGTCAAAATGGTTGTCACTCCTTCCCCCCCCCCCCCCCTATGCAATGATTGAATATTACGAACTTCAGATAATACGCACTCATTTTGCCGGATTATGACAGTCCATTGTAATGAGAGTAGACTGTAGTATCTGCCCCATAAAGTGGACAAGGGGATAGCGGTCATACTAGCTCCGCTAGTAGAGCATTGGACGCATTATTCAAAGATTGCAAGTACGGTCTCTGCCCACGGCAAGTTATCTTTTCGTTCACTTTTGTTTCTTTCCATTCACATTACACTTATTACTAATAACACCCTCTACACTTTCCTTGATGGTGTTATCTGTTAGTTATTATTATTGTGTCTAACAAAGAAGAACGAACCCTTAAAATTTCCACTTCAACAATAAATATGACTCACTTGGCTGCCATGTAGCGGCACTGCAGGACCAGGCGCTCTCGTTCTGCAGGGCTCTCATTCAGTGATTCTGCACCTGCCAGGTACACTTCCCCCCCGCCTAGCACTGGGATCACACAGGGGCCGCCCTCAGTCGAACAGTGTGATGGCCCAATACCCCCAATACTGCCGAGGCGTCGCATCCTCTTGTCCGGCTGCACAGACGGCATTCAACAATTTTTTTGATAATTAGTAAATGATGATAGTGAAAACTGCACACTTACTGGAATTGTTAGTTCCAAATAAGACCTCTTGGCGTTTACGCAAAGAGACATTTGTAAGATAATGAGATTAGGCCTAGGGAAAAGAATAATATGTGATGTTTACTGGCACAAGGACCATTTGATGGCCAAAGAGCACCAGTGCATGATTAAGAGTACGAAGAATGGTTATGTTAAGCGGTTGTATAGAGGCCTCAATTCCTCGCCATAATGGTGGGTAAAATATATAAGTAATAGAATCATTAGAATGAGACATAATGTATGCTTTGAAAATGAGCGGCAAACTGTTATGATAGTAAAATCATGACGGAATGTACAAGAGCACGGGTATCTCCTCAAAGCTTTTGTGGCCAAAGGCGGGGAGGCCAGTGCTTCCTGTAATGTAACCACTGCAAGAGCGACCTCTGTTCAGATGTAATGCTGCGGAATGCCAGGGTAGATGATGAGAAACCAATGAACATCATTTAAAAACGAGAATAGTGAATTGAGGTTAAAAAGCAGATCTTTACCAATAAACATCGCCGGATAAGAGGCATTTGCTCTCAGTGTAGTAACGATTTTTTTTCTCTCATATGGTCGAGTTCACTGCATTGTGTTAAAATATGAAGCACGGTCAGTGGTTTGCCACATTTCTCATGCTTGGGAGGGTCACCTCCGGACAAAAGGTATGAATGTGTCATCATCATCATCATCATCATCATCAGCCTTACTACGTCCACTGCAGGACAAAGGCCTCTCCCATGTTCCGCCAGTTAACCCGGTCCTGTGCTTGCTGCTGCCAATTTATACCCGCAAACTTCTTAATCTCATCTGCCCACCTAACCTTCTGTCTCCCCCTGACCCGCTTCCCTTCTCTGGGAATCCAGTCAGTTACCCTTAATGACCAGCGGTTATCCTGTCTACGCGCTACATGCCCTGCCCACGTCCATTTCTTCTTCTTGATTTCAGCTATGATATCCTTAACCCCCGTTTGTTCCCTAATCCACTCTGCTTTCTTCTTGTCTCTTAAGGTTACACCTACCATTTTTCTTTCCATTGCTCGCTGCGTCGTCCTCAATTTAAGCTGAACCCTCTTTGTAAGTCTCCAGGTTTCTGCTCCGTAGCTAAGTACCGGCAAGATACAGCTGTTATATACCTTCCTCTTGAGGGATAGTGGCAATCTACCTGTCATAATTTGAGAGTGCTTGCCGAATGTGCTCCACCCCATTCTTATTCTTCTAGTTACTTCAATCTCGTGGTTCGGCTCTGCGGTTATTACCTGCCCTAAGTAGACATAGTCTTTTACAACTTCAAGTGCACTATTACCTATCTCGAAGCGCTGCTCCTTGCCGAGGTTGTTGTAGATTACTTTCGTTTCCTGCAGATTAATTTTAAGACCCACCTTTCTGCTCTCCTTGTCTAACTCCGTAATCATGAGTTGCAATTCGTCCCCCGAGTTACTCAGCAATGCAATGTCATCGGCGAAGCGCAGGTTACTAAGGTATTCTCCATTGACTCTTATCCCTAACTGTTCCCATTCTAGGCTTCTGAAAACCTCCTGTAAGCACGCGGTAAATAGCATTGGGGAAATTGTGTCCCCCTGAATGAATGTGTACTATAAGTGTTAAGTGTAACATCTGTATGGCATGACTTAGACACTGGCCGCCAGTTACCAAGCAGCAGCTTGGTAACCTGTAGTTTGTTTTGTGTGTGTAAATTCCATGTTCTGTGCCAGTAACCTCCGAGCTTCTGTCTCAGGAAAGGTTTTAAGTCAAGCGCAGGGATAGCTACGAACATATTAATGTTTTTGTTGGTGGATGCAGCTAGCCGGTCCACAACACGTTTCCTTGTATCTCGTGGTGCCCTGGCACCCAGCACACAACGACATGTTTTTCAAGTGAGTAAACTATCCACAAAAGTGACTAGAGCAAGGCAAGGACAAGGTTTTTGTGTCTTTTGAAAGTTTTGGGGGCTTTTACAATGCTCAGGGAGTCTGTGTATATCACAGCACTTTGTATATTTATTTGTTTTATGTGTTTTATGGACGCAAGTATCGCGTAGGCTTTTGCTGTAAAGATGCTGGTGTTAGGATGCAAAGTGCCGGCATCTGTAAAGGATAGACCGACTGATGCGTAGCTCAGTGAAGTGTGGGTTTTTGATTTAAGAATTGTGGGGGTGCTGACACCCCCCCCCCCTGTAAAGTTGTCTGCGCCGCGTGGCGCACGTGTCTCGCCCCAAGGCTTCGTTTCGGTGGTGACCACCGCCGGGCGATAGATGGCGTTGTGTTCGCTTTTTGAGTACCACTGTTGGTAGAGCGGTAGCGCCGGCAGTGGCCCCTGGCGGAAGGCAGGCCTTGGCGGTGGGCGAGCGTTGAGCGAGCTCTTCTGCGCGTGGCGGCTGCCGCGAACGGTTGTCTGTAGCGCGAGTCCCCGGTGCTCGGCACCGCGGGCTTCGCGCCGGGGTCCCGCGTGTAAGGTCAGGCGTTGGCGACGCCGCCTTGGGTATGTGCTAGTGTGTTGGGTGTGTTAGTGTGGGTTTATCATGTTATTGTGTGTTTAGTGTGTCCCTGCGTTATGTTGTTTGTATGGTTTAGTGTTAATTGAAATTGGTGTATCATTCGGCGGACGATATCGTCGTCTAAATTAGTTAATAAATGTATGTATGTTGTGTGCTTTGTTCCGACCGTGTTCACTGTGTCCGTTCACTCCAAGAGCTTGGCGTGGCGATGCGCTCGTTCGCCTCGCCGAGAGCCCACACTGGCTGCCCAACGTGGAGCTCTTGGAGTGTCGGACGACGGTTCTTGCGGTTCGGTACAGGGATTTTGTTAGAGCCGGAGTAGAGTAGGCCTAGGGGGGACTTCTTTGCTAGCGTCGGTGGTGTGCTTTGTTGAGAAGCGAGGGGATTGGTTTTGTAACGTGTTTCAATTTGTCGGCAGGTTGACTTTCTTTTTTTTTTGCTCGCAAGTGTTCTTATTTTTTGTTGTTAGTTTTCAAAAACGTTGTTGAATTAGGACGAGAGCCATGCGGTCCGCATCCTGGGGTGAGCAAGGCCTAGAGCACGTGGTTTGTAGGCCAGGCCCGAAGCGAGTGAGTACGGAAGCCTCGTGGGTGGTCCGATTTTCTGTAAATAGCTTCTTCTATCTCTTTGGGCTCAGGGAGCCGGGCGTCGTTGCTGACTTGTATTGCGGCTCGACGCCGGGGCGTCGTGACACCGCCCTGAGCGGTGGACGCCGATCGCTCGGTAAGCTGCTGTGTGCGGCGAGCGATAGGGCCACCTCACAGAGTGGACGTCTCCTCGCGGCTGCCTCTTCTGCGCCTAGGCTGGGTGGATGCCGGTTGTTGCCGAGCGACTCATTAGGCCTAAGGCTCTGCGCAGCCGCCTGTCGCACGTGGCACAACTAGGTGGATCGTAGCGTTGAGGTGTTGCGCTCTGCTTCCCTCACTTTTTTTTTACCTTGCGATGCAAGAGTTAGGAAAAGTGATTTTTGTTTTTATTTTGATGGGCGTCTCGCCCGCCACCGATGTATTAGCTAGCAGTACTAACCACCGTACCACGTGGTCGAAAAGCCTGAAGCTTCCTCCCCTGGGCCGCGCTCCTTTGTTTCTTTCGAGTTTTGTTTTTTGTTGATGTATTCAGCGGGAGGGGTGTCATCCACGGCCGGCTGTCCTGCGCATCGTCAGCGTCGCTGGCCAGGAATGCGGTCGTGAGTTCGGGCGATGAAGATGCCTGGGACCTGCGCAACTGCCTGCAGTCCGGCGCCCTCGTGAGTGCTGGTCGCAACTGGAAGACGTGTCGGCGCTAGCGACGGATCGTCGCGCCGACGGCAACGTTGCTGTTGCGGGGCCGGTACTGTGGTGAAGTCTAGCCGGAGAGTGCAGCAGTGTCAACCAGCGGCGGTGTCGTGGTGCAAGGACATTATGGTCGTGCGATATCATTTTTTTGTTAAAGCTTGTGTAGCTAATTTCTGATTTCGGGATATGGTTTGATTTAAGGTTGGGGGAATGTGGGGGTGCTGACACCCCCCCCCCTGTAAAGTTGTCTGCGCCGCGTGGCGCACGTGTCTCGCCCCAAGGCTTCGTTTCGGTGGTGACCACCGCCGGGCGATAGATGGCGTTGTGTTCGCTTTTTGAGTACCACTGTTGGTAGAGCGGTAGCGCCGGCAGTGGCCCCTGGCGGAAGGCAGGCCTTGGCGGTGGGCGAGCGTTGAGCGAGCTCTTCTGCGCGTGGCGGCTGCCGCGAACGGTTTGTCTGTAGCGCGAGTCCCCGGTGCTCGGCACCGCGGGCTTCGCGCCGGGGTCCCGCGTGTAAGGTCAGGCGTTGGCGACGCCGCCTTGGGTATGTGCTAGTGTGTTGGGTGTGTTAGTGTGGGTTTATTATGTTATTGTGTGTTTAGTGTGTCCCTGCGTTATGTTGTTTGTATGGTTTAGTGTTAATTGAAATTGGTGTATCATTCGGCGGACGATATCGTCGTCTAAATTAGTTAATAAATGTATGTATGTTGTGTGCTTTGTTCCGACCGTGTTCACTGTGTCCGTTCACTCCAAGAGCTTGGCGTGGCGATGCGCTCGTTCGCCTCGCCGAGAGCCCACAGAATTCAGGACATGAGTATTTATGTTGGAGTTCAAGGAAATGTGTAAGGATATGTGCAATGGGCGCATGCTTGGTAACTTCAGCAAATGATATATTGCAATCTATGAGCTGCCACTGCCAAGGCAGGACATATGCAGCAGCCAAACGGTGTTCAAGGGGCACACCCGTTTCTTCAGCCAGACCCCTCACACGAAGCGCGCAGGGCTGTCTCATGGCAGGGTGGTTGTCAAACAGGCCAGAACTAAACATATCACTGGCAGTGTAGTGTAAGGAGTGCTTGCTGTTTGCGTTCACTTTGACAAAGTACAATAAAGATAGGTAGCACCTCTGGAGATGTGATGACTAGGCTTGTGCGAATAAGGATT